TCGAAAGTGTAGACTTTTGAAGGTTTACTTATGTCCTCGGCGGCCGAATGGGCTTTTGTGCCTTTGCTATTTACTTGAGCCAGAGCCTTGCAGACGTATGGTTTGTCTATTACTATCTCGGCCGCATCCACACTGACGTACTGTGGGTCCCCGTTTTCGGTCGAGGCATAGCTAACCGTGGGGTTCTTATACAACGTTCCCCGTGATGGTGACTTCGATATCTTTTCTTCTCGGAGCAGATAATCATACTGTTCGACGTGTTGAGCAAGTTCGTACATATCGCGAATGTTTGCCCCCAGGAACTTCTTTTTGTACTCCACGTCTAATCCGTTGAGAGCAATCCTGAAGAATTCCACTTCGGGGAGTGGTACTTGATAGGAGCATATTTAGGCGACTTACTTAGCTTGTTTTCGTGCATCTATGTTGGTAATTCATAGTTATTTTAGTCCTTTATGCTTCTTTTGTGTGTTTTCAGGTTCTAAGGGCTTAGGGAGCAAGAAAGTGCATTTTGAGGCTATTTGGGGCACTTTTGGGCATGGATTTGATAGCTTAATCATGGAGCAAAGAGGATGGACGAAATTGAAGCCTTGTATGCTCTTTGGGGACATCAAACAAAGGGCCTAGCCCAATCAAACAAATCCTTTGAGCCATGGAAAACCTCTAGCCCAATCAAACATATTATGCCATGCAAACCAACCTATTTTAGGCCCATTCTATGTACTCAAACCCTAGCCCTTTAAACTAGTCCATTTATCACTTTTCACTTCCATTCACTTATCACTCACCACATATCATTCATTTATCACTTATCAAACCTTTCACTTATCAATTCCATTCACTTATCACTTATCATTTCCATTCACTTATCACTCACCACATATCATTCATTTATCACTTATCATACTCATAATCATCTACACATTTCAAACATATGCATTTCATCTCACATGCACACCCACCTCTTTCCAAACTAATTCACATGCATACCTATTCTTTAAATCAACACATGCATTCACACACATGCACATCATTCACTCACATTTCCACCATTCATTCTTTATTCCACAAACAAGTCACATGCATTTCCACCTTCCTACTTCATCATTTCACCACATTCTCCCTCTTTAACTCATTTCATTATTCATTCACTTTGCATTCATTCAATTCCACCCCACATGCACCCTTTATTCTTCATCATTGCAACCATGGCACATTTACACCAACAAAACAACTCCCATGCCATGGCCTACTCATATTCCCATTTCCTTTCCAACATCTCACATGCATTTCCACCTTCATACTTCATCATTTCACCACATTTTCCCTTTTATTTCCACATGCAATTCTTCATCATTGCAACCACAAACACCTTAAACAAATAGCCATATACATCTCCACTCCTCCTATAAATACCCTTGCATTCATTCATTCAAATATCATCTCATTCACAACACAACAACACACCACAAACACATTCCTTTCTCCCTTAGAATCCAAAAACCATCTTCCATTTCCACCAATCCTCATCCATTTCCATAATTCCCCAACACTTCCATCCCCCCAACCAACCTATCCTTAAACCTTGTGCTACAACAACGAGGAAGAGAAGAGTGCCTAAACGTTCATACAATTCAAGTTTTGAGTTGTTGGAATGTTTAGGTGTTTCTTTGATTTCAAAGTTTCATTTTAATTCTCTTTGTTCTGTACGTATGAGAAATGGAAGAAAAGAGTGCTGAAACGTTCATACAATTCAAAGTTTTGAGTTGTTGGAATGTTTAGGTGTTTCTTTGATTTCAAAGTTATGAGGAACTAAACCCCCTTTAGCTAGGGGGTAATTCGAAACTATGTTTATGTTTGTAATATGATTTGATTACTTTTAATTACGTTTCATAAGTTGTGAATTCAATTTGTTTAACTATTTGATTGATAACCTATTTATGTATGTTTATTAAGAATGAACGCTTAATTTTCATGCATGAATTTGACGCTAGAATATAAGTGAGTTTCACGTAATAGTTATGAACTTATATTCACAAGTAGTGGAGGTTGCTTATAAACAATCGTGTTAAACATATTCTTGGCATAAGTTTCATGCAATCATAGTAACGAATGCCTCGTCAACACTTAAAGTTTTCATGATGCTTAATGATTCTTGCTTGTATCTCTATTATGCAATTCATGTAGGGAACTTGTGAGGAATACTTTGGATTGTCGTATGCAATCATCCAATTCATTAACTTAAGGAAAACTTGACGGTTAATTTAAGCGGACCTAATTAACCCGGGGCGTTGAGAATTCATGGTTTATTGAAAAGCAATTAGACATCGTTTTGTATGCAAGTATAACATATGTGGAGATGAACCCCTTAGTTAGCTTCCCATCCATTCATTTCCGTCAAATCCATATTTACAATTTGTTTTGTTTCCAAGTTTCCATTTTTAGTTTAAAGTCGTCCAAATCCAATCCCCCTTTACTTTATTGTTCAATTTAGTTAGAAATCAATTTAGTTTGTGTTTTTAAAGCATTTTGAGTCTTTTGGTTTGTCTTAGTGTTTTAACGTTTAGTTTCACATTCTTTGAGTCTAGTTTAGTGTTTTATCTTGTTTTTACGTTTTTGAAGTCAAATCCAAGTGGTTAACAATCCCTCCTAATCCCCGGTCCAGAACGATCCCTACTTACATCCATACTACAATTGTCAAAAAGAGGGTTTAATTTGTGCGTGTATAATTCTCGCATCAGTACTCGGCACCAATTCCTGGCCGACTTGAACCTTGTTAAGTACTCCATCGGAGATTCGTCGGATGCTTGAGCCATCCTGGCCAAGGATGACACGGACATCTCCATCCCTGGCCGATAGAATTGTTCATGGAACTTTTCGACCAACTCCTCCCAACTCTGCACAGAATTGGGTGGAAGATTAATGTACCAGGCGAAAGCGGAGCCTGTCAATGAAAAATTAAACAAACGTAGTTTGTAGAAGTCGTTATTGACGTCTCCACACTGCGCTGTGAGACGAGCCACATGTTCTAATGAGGACAAAGACGATTCCCCGGCGAAGAGGCTGAAATCAGGGATCTTAAATCCTCGTGGGTATTCAAACCTTTCTACGTAAGCCGGGTATGGATGAATGAATTTTGGAAACTTCAACCCTTTCTTCAGGGCCGAATCAATCATTCTCTGGACCTCGGTCATATTCACGGAAGCGGCTTCTTCTCCCTGGCTTAGTCCCTCGAATCTATTTCCTGGTCCTCTTCTTTCTAAGGTGACTGGTCGAGCGGACCCTCTCTCGGCTGGTATGGGCACGTTCGTCGAGAGCTGCCGAGGTTGGCCGACCTGGCCATCTTCGAAGGCTTTACTAACTAATATTTCAAGCATTCTGGTCTGTGTATCGTTGTTACTTCGTATTGCTTCTAGCAAATCATTCATCTTTTGACCAATCGACTGCTCGACCTGACAATACTGCTCATTAAGTCATCTCCGAAGAAATGACCTAGTCGGTGGATCAGAGCCTTCTCCTCCATTGTCGTCGTAATCTTCCACTATCCCCTCCACAAGCATACCCGTCGTTTGATTCAGGATCGCCGCATTGTGAGGTTGCCCGCCGAGACAGATTTCATTTTCTCGGCGTGTCACACTTGTAGCCTCGGGTGGCGCAGCAATGATTGGATTTTTTGCTAGGTGCGAATCCTGCCCAAGGCCTTGCACTGGTAAGTCAGCTGTTGACTTTCCCATGGTTGTTTCTTCTTGGTAGACCGTGTCTCAATGGTCATGAACTCCGAAGGTTTAGCACAATAGTCCCACTGGGCGTGCCAAAATGTTGACTCTAAAAATTACAAAACCTACGTGGCGCGCAGGCCGAGTAACTAATGAGCTAACTACGTCCTTTGGTTGAATGCGGGGCGTGCCAACTCGTCGGCCGAGCTCGGCCGAAGAGTAAAATTTGATGTTGTCGCGTTGGGTGCGCTGTTGACTTCTGTATCTTGCGATTGCGACCAAGGAAGGAACGCTCTCAGTCTCTGGGTTCTATAGCCTGAAGACAAGGCTATTAATTCTACGGAGTTCACAAGTCGTCGGAGCCTGATTCGGTCACTGTGATTATATTCGTAAAAGTATAAGCACGCCGAATCGAGATCAAACTATATGGGCACAGGTACTCAAATGTGATGTATGTCTTGATGGTAAACGTAGTTCGGCCGTCGGAATGCCGAACCCTGAAGCTTACTTGCGAGTATCCAATCATAAAACCACTCGGCGTCCAATGCACCGAGCAATGCAATTCGTAACACCCTACTATGCCGGAAAGGCTTAGTAAGATGACCTCTACCAACAATGACTCGAAAATCCTTCTCGGTCGAGACTTAGATAGATAATCGGTCGACCTCGACGCGGTGCTGTTTATCCAAACTGAAGGTGCGCCTCGGTCGGCTGATTCTGCGGCAGCAGTGCTGTTTATCCAAACTGAAGATGCTCGCCGGGTACTTCCATAGTGCTGTTTATCCAAACTGAAGGTATGTCGGCAGGTAAAAGAAAAGGGAAAAATCTCAAGGTGTTTGAGAGGTTTTACGCAGGGCAATTGTATGCTGAGTTGAAGGTCCTTTCTATTACGTGATTTCTTGTATTTATAGCACCCTATTCCTTGAGATCAATTCGCGCTCTGATTCGGATTGGGAGTCCTTGTCCCATTTCACCTCTAACTCGGACAACCCAACTCCTACTGGGATTCTGAATTTTCCTCCCTTTTGGGGTTTTATTCCTCGCTGGTCGAGAATCCTGGTCATACCAGGATTTCCTCGACCTTTCCTATTCATCTGGACTACTGAGGATAGGATCTGGCCAACCCTGCCAGCTGGCCCAAGTTTCATTATTCGGCCCACGGTATTTGTCGTTACCTTGGGCCCAGCACATCCTGCTGCCCGGCCCAATAATATTTTGGGCCCAAACAATAACATAACACATTAATACACTTAAGATTATCTATCATCAACGTTTGCCTTTTCGGCATCATATATGCTCAACCAAATCCTTGTAGAGTGTGTCATGACCTTGAGGAGCTTGAATTCTATTTAAACGTCTCATATACTCACTCAGTGTGACCCTATCCTGTTGGGTGTCGTATGTGGTTGTAGCGAGATATTCAACATCTATTGTCATGGCTCTGGCATATGGTGGTTGGTCATCATCCGCATCTTCGTCAAAATCTTCCTCAATTTCAACGTACTCATCTTTCACAATCATGTTGTGCAAAATTATGGACATCAGCATGATTGAATAAAGGTCTTCCACATTACACAAACATGCAACCCCTTTAACAATGGCGTATCGGACTTGTAGGATCGCAAATGCTCTCTCGACATCCTTCCTGTAAAACTCTTGTTTCTGCGAAAATAATTTCTTCTTTGCACTATTGGGATAAGAATAACTTTTCACAAAGATAGACCAACTAGGATAAATACCATCAATTAAGTAGTAACCTAGTTCATGTCTATTATCATTTACTTTGTACGTCCATTCCATTGACAACATCATCGAACAGAAGAAAAGACCAAAGAATGTTGATATCATTATTTGATTAAAAGTCTTGATTGTATCCATGTGTTGTAATATACCACGGCCTCAAGCACGATGGTTGACTTGTTGTGACAGCCCTTGAATTGGCTAGCCTAAGCAGTAGGACAATTCTTCCACTCCTAATGCATACAATTGAGACTTCCTATTATGCCAGAGAAGCCTCTTTTGTCTGCCTTACGCAGAAGCCTTTTCAAGTCTTCATGATTTAGCTTGCGTAGGTATGTGGATCCATATATAGCTTCAATTACCTTACAAAAATGCTTCAGGTTCTCAATAGTAGTACTCTTCACAAGTTGGCAATACTCGTTAGTTAAGTCTGCAGAACACCCATTAGTTAGCATATGAAATGCAGATGTGAGCTTCTGATGAGGTGATAGACTTTGTCAGCCTACGACATTTATCTTTCTTGCAAAGTAGTAGTCATGATGGACAATTACGTTCAAGATGCTTTCAAAAAGCTTTCTCCTCATTTGAAACCGCCTCCAAAAATCATGAGAAGAATATCTCGGACATTCGATAAATAATCATCTGGTCATGACACTTTTCTATATCACGCTGCACAAATGAACACCATGTGATAGAACCACGATAGCTAGATTTGGCATGGTGCTCATATTGCATAAGCGAGTTTGCAAATTCAGCTTCTTCATTGTTCATTTATGCATGTATAATTGCACGACTTGCTTGGTATCGTGCTATATGCATTGTGATAGGAGCATATTTAGGCGACTTACTTAGCTTGTTTTCGTGCATCTATGTTGTTAATTCATAGTTGTTTTAGTAGTTTAAGCCATTTTCGTGTGTTTTTAGGTTCATATGGCTAAGGAAGCAAAAAGATGCATTTTGGAGCATTTTGGAGCAAAATTGGGCTTGGAATGGATAGCATATGATTGGAGCCAAAGTGTTGGACGAATTTGAAGGCCTTGTATTCATTTTGGATATAAAACAAAGGGCCTAGCCCATTCTCTCTTAAACCAACCCCAAGGCCATGCATTTCCTTCCAATTCCAAAGCCCACAATCACTTCAAAAGCCATGCAAAGAACCATCCATTCCATCAAAAACAATCCATCAATTCACATGCAAAACCACCATTAACACACATGCACCCAAACAAAGCCAACCTAGCTAACCCTACATGCATTCTTTATGCAACTCTTCATCATTGCACCACAAATCATTCACCCACATGCACTCATATTCCCATTTCCTTTCCAACATCTCACATGCATTTCCACCTTCCTACTTCATCATTTCACCACATTCTCCCTCTTTAACTCACATGCACCCAAACAAAGCCAACCTAGCTAACCCTACATGCATTATTTATTCACTTTTCATCATTGCACCACCAATTCACCCACATGCATTTCCAACCATTCACACCCCTTTAATCATTCTCCTAGCTATCATTCACATGCTCTCCCATCCATTCTCTCCCTATATGTTCCCTCCACTACTCCTATAAATACCCTTGCATTCATTCATTCATTCATCATCTCATTTCATACACAACACACCACAAACACTTCCATCTTCTCCCTAGCCGTGAGTTTTTCTTCCATTTCTCCTCCATTTCTTCCATTTCCATAATCCCCCAATCCATTCAACACACCTACAACATCCCTTAGTTCTTGTGCCACAATAAAGAGGAAGATAAGAGGGCCTAAACGTTCATACAATTCACGTTTGAGTTGTTGGAATGTTTACGTGTTTCTTTGATTTCAAAGTTTAAATTCAATTCTCTTTGTTTTGTAATATGAGGAATGGAAGATAAGAGGGCCTAAACGTTCATACAATTCACGTTTGAGTTGTTGGAATGTTTAGGTGTTTCTTTGATTTCAAAGTTATGAGGAACTAAACCCTTTTTAGCTAGGGGTGATTTCAATACCATGATTATTTATGTAATATGAATTGATGAATTCCGGTTATGAACTCTTGATTCGTGAATGCAATTGGCTTAACTATTTGATGATTAACTTATTTGTGTTTGTTGATTGAGGGTCGACACTTAATTAGCATGCATGAATATGTGGCTAAAGTTTAAGAAGGTTTCACATAATCGTTACTAACTTATACTTGAAAGTAGTGAAGGTCGCTTGTCACGATCGCGTTAAGTTTAATTCTTAGCATGAGTAACATGATGTCATAGTTGCAAGTGCTTTGTCAATGCTTATGGTTTTCATTATTCTTAATGATCTTCGATTGTATCTCTATTATGATGACATGTAGGGAACTTTTGAGAATGTTTTGGGTTGTCGAATGATGCCATCCAATCCAATAATATAAGGAAAATCTGAGGGTTAACTAGTGATGTCACGGTTAATTTGGGGCATTGTCGTTCATAATTCAATGAAGGAATAACTGGAAATTGATTCATATGCATAAATATCATGTGTGGAGAAAGAACCTCTAGCTAATTCACCAACCATCTTATTTCATCAATTACATTCTTGTTTCGTTATTTCAATTTTCATCAAATCTCAATCCCCCTTTTGCTTTAATGTGCAATATAGTTAGAAATCAATTTAGTTTGTGTTTTTAAAGCATTTTGATTATTTTGGTTTGTCTTAGTGTTTTAACGTTTAATTTCACATTCTTTGAGTCTAGTTTAACATTTTATATTGTTTTTACGTTTTAGTTTAAATTCGTCCAAATCCAATTCCCCCCTATTTCGTTGAAGTCTTAGTCTTAATCTTTCTTATTTTTAGTTTTGCTTTCTTCGAGCATTAAATAGTGTTTTATATTGTGTTTTTATGTTTTTAAGTCAATTTAGAAGGTTTTAGCAAGCCCTCCTAATCCCCGGTCTAGAACGATCCCTCATTTATCCATTCTACTACAATTGTCAAACGAGGGTTTAATTTGAGTGTCAAGTAATTCTCGCATCAAATTTTGGCGCCGTTGCCGGGGATTAGCAACTTTGCTAGTCCCTTGTCTTTATTTTTATTTTTATTTTTTATTTTTTTTTGTTTTTCGTGCATTCTTATTTCAGATTCTTAGTTTGTTTGTTTTCTTGTTTTTCAGGTACTGTGTATGACTCGTAGCTCTCGGCCTATTATAGAGAACATCTCCGACTTTGACGGTGATTTTGAACGCACTTTGAGGAGAACGAGGAGTCAACAAGAGCAACCTCCACCACAACCTGGGCTTGAAGAAGACGAAGTAGGTGTAGAAGAAAAGCCCACGGATCAGATTTTTGAAGAAGAACAAACCATGGCAGCAGATAATAGAACCATCAAGGAGCTTTCGGCCTCGGGTTTGGATAATGCATTGCCTCTTTGTATCCAATACCCCACGGCTGCAGAGGGGAAGACTGAGGTGTTTGAACTCAAATCCAGTTTGTTACACCATATTCCGAAGTTCCATGGCTTGTCTATGGAAGACCCCAACAAACACTTGAAGGAGTTCGAGGTGGTTTGTTCGAGCATGACCCCCGTCACTGTGGATGGGAGTATAATGATGATGAAGGCCTTTCCATTTTCACTTATGGACAAGGCCAAAGATTGGCTCTACGAACTAGCCCCGGGAACTGTGACTTCGTGGGAGAGTATGAAGCGTGCTTTCTTGGAGAAATTCTTCCCTACTTCGAGAATGATTCTCCTACGGAAGAAAATTAGTGGTATTCAACAGAACCATGGTGAGACATTCCCGGCTTATTATGAGCGTTTCAAGGGCCTTGTAGCTTCATGTCCTCAACATCAAATGAAGGAGGAACTTCTCCTTCAATATTTCTATGAGGGCCTCCTTCCTATCGAACGTCAAATGCTTGATGCATCAGCGGAAGGAGCATTGGTGGACAAAACACCAAGGGATGCCAAGATTCTCATAGCCAACCGAGCGCTCAACGCTCAACAATATGAAGGAGTGGGCCAAAGGGAAGCCCCACGGCAACAAAGTGTAAATGAGGTTAGTGCTATTTCTGAAATTCAATCACAACTTGCTAATCTTACTTCTCTTGTTTCTCAGGTTGTGATTGGTCCAAAAGCACAAGAACACGAAGTTTGTGGCGTGTGCTCAATTCAAGGGCATCCATCCGACAAGTGCCCTCAACTAATCGAGAATGGTGGGTGGGAATCTGCCAATGCAATTGGTTTCCAAGGACAAAATCAAAACAACCCATACTCGAATACTTACAATGCCGGATGGAGGGACCATCCAAACTTCAAATGGAGGGAACCACAACAAGCTGCCCAACAAGGAGGATTTAGGCCAAACCCCCCTGGTTTTTATTCCAAGCCGTATGCACCCCAACAATCCCAACAACCTTCGGCATCATCTCATTCAGGTACGTCCTTGGAAAGTAATCAAGCTATGCAATTACTAACTTCTATTTCGCAGGGGTTGCAAAATCAAAACAACCGGATAGAAAATAACGAGAAGGAGATGATGGATATGAAGAAACAAATAGGGCAGATTTCTGAGTTCCTTGGACAGATTAGAGAGCAAGGAAAGCTTCCTAGCTCAACCACAGTCAATCCAAAGGGAGGATTCGAATCCGCCAAGGCCATCACCCTAAGGGGTGGAAAAGAAGTTGGGACCGAGCCAAACAATCCCAAATCTGCCCAGAAAGTAGATGAAGAGACAACACAACCTGAGGAAGTATCTAGCTCACCCACGGAAAGAGTGAAAAACCCAATGCCGCAGGCCCCCAATCACCCTAACTCGGCCAAATCAGGTAATTTAAATTCAAATTCATGTACTTCACGTCCTAATCTGCCCAATGTACCTTTTCCTCGCAGGTTCATGCAAGAAAAAAAGGAAGAAAGCGAGAAGGACATTCTTGAAACGTTCCGGAAGGTGCAAGTGAACATACCGCTTCTCGATGCAATCAAACAGGTTCCAAAGTATGCTAAATTCCTCAAGGACCTATGCAATACAAAGAGAAGAAGGGCAAACAAAGAGGTAGTGAAGGTAAGCGAAAATGTGTCCGCTGTTTTGCAACGTAAAC